TTTTTTTTTTTTTTTTTTTTTTTTTAATAGTTTTTGGCCAGGGCCAGGCTCAAACCCGCCATCCCCATACTCCCATATATGAGGCCAGTGCCTTACTCCTTGAGCCACAGGTGTTCCCCCTCTGGGGTACTTTATTTACCAACCTGTCTTTCCTATATTCTTGTTTTCCACACAGACTTCTTACCCACTTCTTTCACTGTTTAGTAAAACAAATACCTCCACATGCTTGCTGTTGTTCTAGTCTGCTTCCTAAAAGACTTTTGCCGTGTTCATTTCCTCTGTGTTCATCCACCTCCTAATTTACTTTCACATTGTGTATCAAGATACTTGGTGTGTCAACCTTAAGGAAATGAAAAGGAATTAACTAATATACATACTTGATTTGTAGAGTCAAACAAGAATTAATCCAGATGTAACTAACCTTGAGTTAGCTTTTAGGTAGATGTGTTTAATTTTTGAATTAGCATCAGTAACACACAACTATCTTCAAATATAGGCAGTTCCCAGGTTATGAATGAGATAGGTTCTATAGGTTTGTTTGTAAATTGAATTTATATGTAGGTTGGAGCAGGTACTTTCCTCTGTTCATAAGTGTGAGTTGTATAATACACATCACATGTTTGTAACTTGGGGACTCCCTTTAGCTGGCTGTTTCTTTGTTTTATTTAAAAGTGTAACTTGGAGATTTTTCTATTTAGAACATGGTGGAGGGCTCCTTATTTTCTGCCTTTTTGTTTTATTTTTAACAGCTATGTAAAATTCTGTTTTATAGATCTTTCGTGATTTTATATAAGTCCATATTGGTGGATAATTGGGTTTTTTAGTGTTGTCTTTTTATAAACTAAGTTGTACATTTACCTTATAAATGTATTAGTTTTGCATGTGCAAAAGATAAATTCCAGGAAATTGTTGGATTAAAGTATTATAAAGATATAATTTTGATAATATCAAAGTGCTCTTTATAAGAAAGCATGTGATGTGTGTTTTTCTGCTATAGCAGAATACCAGAGACTAAGTAATTTATAAAAACGGAAGTAGTTTGGCTCAGGGTTCTGGAGGCTGAGAAGTCCAAGGGCATGGTGCTGCATCTGATGAGGGTCTTCCTATTGTGGAAGGCATTACATGGTGAGTGAGCTTGAGAGAGGACAGGAGAAAGAAGAAATGGTGACTGATCTCATGTTATTTGTCAGTAGCCCACTCCCACAATAACTAATCCATTCTCTACTGATAACATTAATCCATTCATGAGTATGAACCCCTCATGGCCTGATCACCTCTTAATACTGTTAGGGTGGCATTTAAGTTTCCAATGCCTGAACTTTGGGGGACATATTTAAACTGTCCCAAGATGCTATCACACTTTTGAATTTCTGTCATTCTGAAAGGGTAAAAAATGGCATCTCTGTAACTAGATTTCTTTTTGGGGTTGAGGTTGTGATGTACTACTTCATGTCCTTTCACTCTTCTTACTCCCTAAGGTTCTAGTATGCTTTGTTAGGAGAGTCTGAGTATTTATATTGATCAAGAGTTTACCAAGCACGTCCACACACAACGAAGAATGTTTATATGCCTTGATTGAGTTGGACACATTGAGCTCTTACCCCAATTGTGTGATGATTTATTAAAATTGGATAAAGTAATTGGCAGTTGAATTTACTAGAGATGATCAGAAGCAGATAATTCTGTTACATTATTAGTAAACGTTGAAGGAAAAGAGTGATGGGTTCTAGTAGTGTTTCAATATGAGGAAAGAGTGGCGTGAGCAAAGGAAGGGAGATGAAGATATCAAGGATATTTTAAAAGGATGGTAGGAACAGAATTGGAACTAGATAATAGAAGTCTTAAGATTTTTTTTTTTTTTTTGAGAGTCCCATTTTGTCGCCCTCAGTAGAGTGCTGTGGCATCACAGCTTAAAGTAACCTCAAACTCTTGTGCTTTAGTGATTCTTTTGCCTTAGGCTCCCAACTAGCTGGGACTACAGGCGCCTGCCACAATGCCCAGCTATTTTTTTGTTAGAGTTGTAATTGTTGTTTAGCTGGCTCAGCTGGATTTGAACCCACCAGCCTCGGTCTATGTGGCCAGTGTTGTAACACCTGTGCTATGGGCCCTGAGCCAGGAAATTTTAAGTTTTAAATAGCATGCCAATTTAGGAACTTAAACTGTATTTTGTGGATAGTGAAAGTCATTGGAAATTTGAGAGCAGGAAAGAGTAGTGGTGAAGAAAGGTGAATCTAACACTATGTATAGAGTATGCGTAGCATGGATTGAAGGACACACTGGACACTGGAAATAGACACCATTTTACGGATGCAAGAAATGTGCAGCCCTAAACTGGTATGGTCTCAATAGATAGGAAAAATTAATTATAGACAGAGGATATAAAAGAAGAATTAATAAACTTGATGACTATTTTGTTGTTTCAGAGGAAAAAGGCAAACAATTTGGGTGCCAGGGCTGAGAAAGCCTATTTTAACCTTTGAATTTTTAATCTCAGTTACCATGAGTTCTTTTTTCCCCTCTGTCTGACATTGATCTTAAAAAATAACACTTTATCCTTTGAGGTGCCTATCTCATCCTATTCATAGTCAGATTTTAGGTCTGACTATGTAGAAAGATTGGATTTATTTTAAGGATAGGGTGGAAGAATTTAAATCTTGGAACATGTTGAATTTTGAGGAGGCCCTAGATCTCCCAGGTAGGTAGCAGGTATGTTCAGGTGTCGGCTATAAATGTAATGAAGGAAAAAGGGGTAGAACCATCCAGCAGTCTACCCTATATTGCTTTCTTAAACCTCTTTATATGCTTCCTTTTTAAAATAAAAAACATTTTGTGTTGCATACCATAATCCACTACCTTTCGTGTGTTCTTGGGTTAAAGCCTAGGAATCAGGTGGAGAACCTTAGTGTTTGTATTAGAGCATATGTGGGAGGAGAAAAAAATTGTAAGATATGTAAGTGAACAGGAATTTGTTCAAATAGAAAGGTTGCTGAATTTACTCCTAGTTTTTGACCATCTAGAAAATAATTTCAGCAGAATAATAGACAGAAGTAATGACCTAAAATTTGAGTTTGAATAGGAATTTGAGCTAAGCACCTCAAAGCATGTAGTGAATTTTTTAACATCAAGGTCAGATGGATAAAAAAACAACTCATAACTGAGATTAAAAATTCACCGATTAGAGAACAGGGTTTCTCTACCTCAACACTGGTAATATTTGGGGATGGATTGTTCCCTGTTCTGTGGCTGTCTTGAGGATTATAGGATGTCTACTAGTGCCCCCATTCTCTATCTTGTGCCAATGAGATGTCTGGAGCCATTCCTAGTTGTGACAACCAGAATCATTTCCACACATTGCTTAATGTCTCAGGGAGAAGGGGGTAAAATTGTTCCTGGTTGATAATTGAGAGTGGTGGGTGTCATGTCTCCCAGAGGCTTCCTTATGAGAATGGCTGCAGTTTTCTTGGTGAAGAGGGAGGGTCTTCTCCAGGAGAATGCAAGAGCTGGTTGCTTGAGACTAAAGAAATTAATTATACCAGTGTCCATTTGAGATTAGATAGTGTTTTGTAGTTACCCAGATCAGAATGTGCACATTATATGTTTACATTGATTATGTTCTCACCTGATACTCAAAATGTTACAGTAGAGGACAGAATCCATAGAAAGTCCTAATTTTTTATTGGTTTTTTGCATTTGCATTTTTGAAATTTTATTTTGTTGATACATGATGTACATATTTTCAGGATACATGTTATACTTTAGTACATTCATCCAATTTTACTTTAATTTTCAGGCTGAAGAACAGTTGAGAATTGTTGAAGAACAAAGAAAGATTCATGAGGAAAGGATGAAACTAGAGCAAGAGCGACAGCGTCAACAAAAAGAAGAACAAAAAATTATCTTGGGCAAGGGAAAGTCCAGGCCTAAACTGTCCTTCTCATTAAAAACCCAGGATTAAATGCAAACTCTGAACTTTTTACCAAGAAAAATGGAAAAACTTTGTATGGTAGCTTCATGTTGAAGTGGTTTTTTGTTTTGTTTCTTTTTTTTTTTTTTAAATTTGTAAAATCTGGAAAGTTAGCTTGTTCTAATAGGGGCTATGCTCTGCAATTCCTTTTTTTTTTTTCCCTTCCATTAAGTCAAATCCTTATCAGATCATTGTTGTCTTCTAAAAAGTGATATATTTTTCACCTGTTTGGATTCTGTATTTGTGGTCTGAAAAAGAGCAGATCACTTAGTAAACTATGGATGGTCTGATAAGGTTTTTACTGACCCATTGACTTCAGAGTTATACTCTGTTTATTACATCATAATGCTGGTTTTGCTTTTTGTTTTTTTATATATTTATAAAAAAAGGAAAAGTTGGTGATTGCATTGGAAAATTCCCAGGGTATTACTGGACCTATGTGGTATATTGTTAAACCAGTGTCCTTGTGATACTGTTGCTCTTGATGTTCCTGATACAGGTAAGGAAACCGTTGGTCAACTCTGATACAAAATATATATATACAGTTCAGTATTGTCTCTGTTCAGTTTGTTTTATTTCATTGACAAAATCAAGCCAGCATTCCCCATTGTGTAAATAAATGATTTTGCTGAATAAAGTCAAGTCTTAAATTCATATGTTTAAGCAATTTTTTTTAAAGTTATGTTAAGTCTTAGAGGGTGGTTTACTTTTTGATGGTCAACAATTTTAGAAGTCTTGAAACAATACTGTATTTCCTCTCATTTATACTTTTAACGTAGGGTTTATATGTACATTAAATATACTTGTGAATTAATAACTAATGGCTATTTTTACAACTTTAAGCTGATAGAGCAATTATGACATCAGTATTTTAAGAAAGACTAACACTCAGAGTTAGTGTTAGGCTCAAACCTGTGCCTCTGTTTTAGGATATAAGTATTACCACAAATTTTACTTAATAAAGACTAAAAAATACTTCTACAAAATTTATGGAATTTTAGATCATTTTCAGAGTGGGCCATCAGAAAGAACTTAGCTTTATGCTTTCATAAAAAGGTGAAGGTGGTCAGATCATCTTTAGTGTAGTGTACTTGCATGTTTAGTTTTGGGACAAACACATTCAAATTTTTATAAGTTTTTTGCATGTGGAATTTTCTGGATGACTTTGTTTTATACACTAGAATCTGCCTCATTTATCCATTCATATGTTTGTTTTAAGTCTACTAGTATTAAAGCATTTATTCAAGAAAAGGGTATGGATATAAAATTGCTACCTGAGATGCATAAATAAGTCATCAAGTAGAGATGATGTTCCCCAAGATTTTTGAAACAATTTGATCATTTAGTATTGAAAAACATAAGTTAATGAAATGACTAAATGGTAGATTATTTTGTGTGTGCATGCTAAGAAAAATGCTGTTGCTTTTCAAGTTTTGAGCTCTTCAATGAGTAATTGTGGTAAGGAATAATAAAATCAGTTTAAATATCTTTAAAGATAGAATTTTAAATAGGCATGAACTGTAGTGAGGACTAAACACACCTATTACTCTAAAATCATTCATTTTATTAAAGAATATAAGTTGCCTACCAAATCCTTTTTTACCTCTAAATTTAGGTTAGCTGTAATTATTTTATGATGCTTATACTTTTTTTCTAATGTAATTTTTTTTTTTGGTGCAGATTCATTGTTCCTAAGTTCTGTATTCAGGTTTTTGGAAATGTTTATTTAAAAATTGTTTTGCAAAACAAGTGTTCTAAACGTTGTATCTAAAGAGAGTAACCTGGACTTCAAATATTTGAAATCAGCTTATGCGTGCCTTTTAATTTTTAAAAAATTTCTTACTGCCACATAGGTATGAAGTCACAGTAAGTTGCTTAATGACATTACAGTATATGCTTGCTGTTAGAGACTCAACATATTAAAATTGTTCCTGTACTTGGTAATTATTAGTCTGCCAGGCTACAGAAAAGAGGATGTAATTGTTAATATCATACACCCAGCCTTTTTTGTGGTGCAACAATGTAGTAATTTGTTTTGTTTCCACTGCCTTTCTGTATATATCACAAAAGTTAAAATTTTCTCCCAATTTATTAGCAATTAAAATGTTCCCTAATTTATTAAATATGCTTTTATTCATAGTTTGTTTTTTAGGTTATTAATGCATTATAGAATTAACTAATGACTTTGTTTATTTTTATGACAGTATTTAAAATATGTAGTTATTGCCATTTATATTGTGGAGTTTGAAGAATTACCAATTGTATAATACAAACTAAACTTTTAAATTAGCTTGGTGTGAGTACTCTTTAATGCTTCAAATAGGGGGAGGGGCTTTTGTGTTAAGATTCATCACATATCTTTTATGAAGTTGTAGCAAATTAGGTTTTTTTCTGCTCAGTTATCTTAGTCATTTATTTGTGCAAGTGTGTATTCATAGCTTTTTTTTTGTATGACTCCCTCTCCTAGATGAGTAGTATCTTAAAAGCATTTTCAGTGGTCTGTATTTTTTTCATTTTCTGAATCACAGAATTTTAGGTCGTTGAATTCTATGTATCATTTCTAATGCTTCATTTTTATGTTAAGAAGTCTCAGTTGGGGTGGCACCTGTGGCTCAAAGGAGTAGGGTGCCAGCCCCACATACCCGAGGTGGCGGATTCAAACCCATCCCCGGCCAAAAACTGCAAGAAAAAAAAAAGTCTCAGTTTATCACTGTTAGCTAGAGTGTCTGATTTCAGTTCTCTGGATTTTCTTTACACCCAGAACCTTTCATCTGTTTTTGTGTTGCCATGAGAAATGCTAAAGACAGATGATAATTTCTGAGACTACTTACCTCCTCTAGGACAGTCTTGTGAACACTGAAATACTGGAGTGTTACTAGTGAAAAGACCTGAAAGGACTACTAAAGGTGAAACCAATCCAGAAGTCTAGGATGGGTGTTGAAGTACAAGCAGTAGGCCCCACTTTCTCATCTGTGAATTGCCGCTTAACAGTGGCATTCATTCCTTCACTATTGAGTGTATTATTGGTAGTTTTTGCCTTAATTTTTTGTTTTTAACTTACTCTGGTGGTGGGACAGTCATCTGTCCATGATGGTGGAGGAGGTAACTGTGCAGTTAATCTAGAAGATCTGCATTTGCTAATACGCTGCACCATACATCTTGTAGCAGATTCGCCATTGCTTAATTAGATAGTATTACCTGAACTATTATGTAGAGTAGAACCTCCATAGTTGACTGCCTCCCTACACTGACCACCTCCTTAGTTTGGCCTAATTTTCATAAATAGGACATAGATCACATGTACATTTTGGTACAGTAGATCTAGTTCCTTATGTGGACCACTCCCATATGTTGAGATCCTTGGGTGATTAAACTTACAGAGTTTCTAATGTATTTTGTGTGGAGTAACTGATTTGGTGCTGGGAAGCCATTGAAGGGGGAATGCAAGAGACTTGAGATAAACTTAGGGTCTTGTGTATTTGTGTACTAGCTTCTTACCCACAAAGTGTTTCTTTAGAACTTTGGTTTTACAAAGTAGTACAAATCAGAATGATTATTTGGGCACCTTTTTGTGTGCCCTGAAAATGTGCTTTTCTGCCTGAGTCATTCTTGGGTTTATAAATTTTTTGACATTTCTCTTCTTTTTTTTTTTTTTAATTTTTTGACATTTCATTGGAAGCTGTATTAAAGATTACTATTAAAGTTCTTGAGGCTCCAGTGGTTGACCAGAGGATGTTGGACAGTTGTATTTTTTATATTTAAAAAAGAAATCTGTCTTTTATTAGGTAGTATCTTCAGTGATCCAGCAGTTTCACTGTCAGCCAAAGCGTGTACGTATCTAATAGTGTCAGTTTATTTTCTGTACATATCTAATAGTGTTAGTTTATTTTCTAAGTTTGGCACAACTTAATTACCAGACCTGTGTGTGTTACAAGTATAGAATAAAATGAATTTGTAAACTGCATACATTTGCATGATTTTCTGTAGGTTTTCACAATGTGTTAAATGACAAGTAGAATAAAAAGTTAACAAATGCAGTTGGTTTTTAAGTGCTACAGAACCTTTTATTATCAAGTGGTATAATGAGAGGGGCAAAAATGGCTTTATTAGACCCAGAATAGATTATCACTGTCATCAGTAATTTCTCTTAAATATATTTATAACAATAAAATATTTAATTTACTAAGGTTCACATGCGTACATCTTTCAGATCAGTCCATAAAAGGGGCATCTTGATGGGAGAGGTTGAAGTATTAGAATGAGTGATACAGTCACAACAATGCCAAACTAGTTGCTATCTGCTCCTTTATCTCCACCAACTGTTTAACTCAACCTTGGAATGAGACCTGGAGTTTGGTCCTTCAGAACCTCTTGGTTTGTAAATAAGGAAGTAGTGAGCTTTCATGCCAGGTCCCTATGCTCATTGGAGCCATTCCTGTATCCTTTCCATGTGTGCAGTTTTTGCACTAATACTGAAGAGGAAGTGATAGGTTGAGCTGGATATTTAAATGACTGCTAGTGGGAAGTAGGGCTTTGCTTTGGTAGGGATAGTGGTCACCAAGCTTCACAAAGGGAGAATTGTTTCTCTTTTGACCAGGGGGCTCATGTAGTACTTTTCGCTGCCAAACAAATAAAGCTGTGGTATAAAATGTTTCTGTGTGTGATCTGAATTTTCAAAGCAGATGGGTAGAGGAGGAGAGTATGGTAACATTGATTTTAAGAAAGTTGTATCCTCAGGGATACATTGGGCAAATGTGATTTGCTAAAGAGTTCTAAAAATTTTAGAGACTTGTATGAAATAAACAGCATACAATGCCAGGAAAACAAAAGATATCCAAGTTTAGAAGCTTAACAGCTACCTAGAAAGTTCATGGCTTGGGCAACACTTAACATATTATTAAATTTCAGGGTTTTTTTTTTTTCCTGTAAAGTTAATATTTAGATAAAAAATTGTTTTTATAGAAGTTGTCCTTTTTTCTTTGTTCTTTTTTTTTTTGAGACAGAATCTCACTGTGTCTCCCTCGGTAGGGTGCTGTGGCATCACAGCCTACAGCAACCTCAAACTCTAGGGTTTAAGCGATTCTCTTGCTTCAGCCTCCCAAATAGTTGGGACTATAGGTGCCCGCCACAACGCCCAGCTATTTTGATGTAGTGGTCATTGGCAGGCCCAGGCTGGGTTCAAACCCACCACCTCCGTTGTATGTGGCTGGTGGGTGCCCTAGCCACTGAGCTAGGGGCGCCACACAGAAGTTACTTGTCTTAGAATTGATTTAACAATCAAAAGGTCTAAAGACCAAAACATGACTAGGACATTTCAAAGGGACGAGAGCATGACTTGTTTAGTTAGAACATGATGGGGAGGCAAAATTGACGGTACTCTTAAGCTGGAATTACTCAATTTTGTATTTGCCACCTCATTCCTCATTTATCCAACTAATTTTTATAATTGACTGCAGTGTATCTTTGAAATTGCCAAATCTTCATTAATTTGATTTTTAGAAAATTCTTTAGAAAACTGAAGTTTTGGGCAGCGCCTGTGGCTCAAAGGAGTAGGGCACTGGCCCCATATGCCGAAGGTGGTGGGTTCAAACCCAGCCCCGGCCAAAAAAAAAAAAAAAACTGCAAAAAAAAGAAAACTGAAGTTTTTATTTCTACTGAAATTATTCACTTTTTGATGTGGGGTTAAATAGTTTCTGGTAAAATAGTATATTTTCAAAAATCCATTTTTTAAAGAATTTAATTGCAAAATTAAGTCCAAATACAAAGAGATACTCTATTAATGTGATTGGCTTTTGGTTTGAGTGTTTCAGAATTTTTGCTGTCTTTTGTACATGCCAACATGAATGACTTTTTGCCTGGCATGATGCATATAGTAGATACAAGTGGCTGACGTGGTGCTTTTATTTAACGATTACTATCTAAATAGTAGTAGAACATTGACATCTTGAAGTTGTTTGCTTTTTTGCTCTTGGTTTTCACATAGTCTGTACATCAAATTTATACTGAAAATAAGTTTTATATTCCCCACACTTTAAAGCTATACTGTTGAAATCTTTGTGTCAGATTTTTGTTATTTTTGTTAAAGTAAAATGCTTTGGATGTAAGAATATCTGATACACTGGAAATGTTATTTTTGGAAGCTGAGTTATTTTCAGACAATGCAAGTTTCCTGTATTTCCTCTAGTTTACTTGGAGAAGAGGATGTAGTGAGCTAAAAGGTCACAATTCAAGTTTGCTGAACATGTACAGTGCATGTATATACTCAGTTCTTTTACACCCTTTAATTTGAATGAATTCCTTAAGTGATTTCTTTAAGCATATTTAAAAAATCCTTTTTTACCCCTGTGAAGTTACAAGTCATTGTGCATGTCCCTTTTAGTTTTTTCTGGGAATCTTCTAAGTAAATCGATATGCCATGTTTGAGCCATTAAAATAATCAAATTAAAGACTTATTTAAAACTAGTAATTGCAAAAAATGAAGTTTTATGCTCTCTTAAAGATGTATTTGGAATAATTTATTTAGTGCTTGGAATGCCTTAATGTTTTCTGCCTTAACACACAAGTCTTTACCATTTTTTTCACATGCTGGTTGATAAACATAGTATTTCTAAAACTTAAAGCACCATCAAAGTCCTCACAAATTGTTAAGAAGAGTGACGAGTGAAAGAAAAATAAGTGTATAAACTAAGTGTTTCTCTTCTAAATTTAGTGCATAATTTGGTTTAAAAATAGATGTAGGAACCCTTTCTAGTTCTCTGCGTTAAATCTTGGTGTGGACAGCATTAAAAAAAAAAAAAGTTGTGGGCATACGACATATTTTATCCTGTTTAATTATTTTTAAAATTGTGAGCTACATTCGTACTCTGCCTTGTTTCTACCATGTTCTCCTTGCCGTCCGGCATTTTAAAAGACTGTGACTTGATTAGATTCTGCAGAATTCTCGATCCGAGGTTGACCGTTGTGATATCGACATGCGGAGAAGTAAAACTGGTCGCTAGTGGGCGCTGTGGGTCCGTGGAAGTCCTTGACGCGGTTGCTGGAGCTCTCAGTGTGCTTTGGTCAAGCGCTTAGCTGAGAAAGTGATGATTCCTGCCACCTCTGCATTTGGGTCTGTAGACGCTGAATAAGAAGCACACGCACCGACCTTTACATCACACGCGGATGTATGTCCTCGCAACCTCCTAGATTATCGGTCACCTTGGGAAGCGTCAGTGTCTCTGGGAGGCCAATTAGTAAGAAAGTCGTCCCCGCCGGCATGTATGCGCCGGCAACGTTTGCACAGGGGGCTTGGGAGGCGCTGCTTTCCCGGGCAGTGAAGGGTGGAAGAGAGTCTGGAGAAGAAAGTGTGAGGAGTAGAGAGCGAAGACGCTCACGCCCCAGTGATCGGCTGCAGATTGCGGCGCCGTGGCCCCTGGAGTCGCTTTACATTTTCCAGCCATACTGACTGGGCCGGATGAGCTGATTGTTTGGTCCCCAGTGAAGTGAGAAACCTTTCACTCGGAGGCGTGGTGGGAAACAGCGAAGGGAGCCGGGACTCGGCGGATGCGTGTACGATGTGTAAGTTTGTCCTCTACAGAGGGAAACTCAAAGGAAACCCATTGCCTCGATTCAGCCCGAGTCTGGATTATCTGTTCCAGATCGGACATTTGCCGGCCATGAAGGCACTGCCGGGCGCGGCGACACGCTCGGACGGGCGGGGACACAGGTGGGAACTCGTGGTCCCCCTCTCCACACTTGGCCGTACCTATATCAACGTCCTCAGGGCGTCTGGGAGGCCTTCCGCCTCATCGGGGGCGCCTGTGTGCACAGCTGGGAGTCGCTTCTCCTTCCCTGTCTGCGTCTCCGCGGAGAAGCTCTGGGGGCCGGGGGCGGGGCTCACCTGTCAGCGGAGCCCCGCCTGCTGGAGCCCAGTACCGGCGGGGGCGGCAGACGGACGGGCCGCCCGCCCAATCAGTGCGCGGCTGCCGCGCGACGGTCCAATGGTCTTCGCGCTGCGGGGCGGAGCCCCACGTTTATAGCGCTCTGACAGCGCGCTGGCCGCGCGGACTCTCCTCGGCGGGGACGGCGGCGCCGGCCAGAGGCCAGGGCTGAGCACAGATTCGGTCCCGGCGCCCTCCCCGCACACAAAGGCCCGCGAGCGTCCGGCGCCCGCGGCAGGGACTGAGCTCCCTCCTCCTTGCTCCGCGGGCCGGGAGCTGCGAGGACTGAGGAGGCTCCTGCGCGCCCGGAGGCGCCTTTCTTCGCTCCGCGCTCCGGGACATGGAACCGCGCCGACGCGGCGCCCGCGCACTCGGGCCGCTGCCCGCTCCACTGGATCTATAGTTACAGGCAACCCCGCTCGGGGCGCAGCCCCCACCGCCCTGCGCGAGTCTCTCCGCTTCGGGCCTTTGTGTCCCGGCTCCGCGCCCTCCCCGTAGCCCCGCTCCCGCCCACCGCGGCTGGCCCGGCACCCTGGAGCCGCACGGGAGCCGGCCGTCCGAGCTGCGTCCGGCGCGGCGCCCCGGAGCCCCGAGTCCGCCGCGCCGCCGCGCCCCGCGCGTGCGTTCCCGCCCCGCGCCCTGAGGGCCCCAGAGGGGGAGCGCACCTGGCCTCGGCGGTCGCTGGAGCTGCGCGGCGCACCCTGAAGCTGTCTGCGGGTGCCTGCAGTCTTCCCCCGCTAGTCTGCTCCAAAGGATTGCGGCTCCCGGCCCGCGTCCTGTCCCCCCGCGTCCCGGAGTGCGCGGAGCTGGGAGTGGCTTAGCCATGGCTGTGAGGAGGGACTCCGTGTGGAAGTACTGCTGGGGAGTTTTGATGGTTTTATGCAGAACTGCGATTTCCAGATCGATAGTTTTAGAGCCTATCTATTGGAATTCCTCGAACTCCAAGTAAGTGGCGTCCGCGGTATCGCTAGGTCCTCGACTCGGGGTCCGCCGTGCCGTCCTGGCGGGCGGGAGGAAGGGTCGGCCCGCGGAACCTCGGCTCCTGTTTCTGGAACTTCAGTCCCCTTTCCTCCCCCGTGCCCCTTCCACATTTCACTAGGTGGGGACTCTCCTCTCGATTTTCCAGTCCTTGCGTCGGCTCTCAGGGGCGGCCTCCCGGCCTTTCTTCCTCCAAGCGCGGCCCGGCGCTAAAAGCCTTTGGCGGGTCGGGTGTCACGTCCGGGAAGGTGTCCGATGGCGATACCTGACTCTCTCTTTTTCGAAGACGGAGGACAAGGCCATTAACAGGGCTGGCCGGATCGCAGATATCGGCGGTCTCTGGAAAGAACTGCAGATGTTGCACTCGTGGAGCGCAGGCGGCGCAGTCCGGGGCCCCGGGGCAGGCTGGCGGGCGGGTGACGGGTGTGGCGGGACCGGACAGTGGAGCGCACCCTCGGAGAGGGGACCTTGGGTAGCTGGGTTACCCGTAGCGTCCCGAACCGGCAGCTTTAGGCACGGTGCCGCCAAGCTGAGGGTGCGCGGGGATCTCTCCTGCCCCGCCGGAGAATTCAGGAGGTGAGCCCTCTCCTCCCCGCCTGGAGACCGGCCTTCGGCTTCTCCAGAAGGGCGCTCTGCACATCGGCCTCCCCCTTGGTTTATAAACCAATGGCCCCGAACTCTGTGCAGTCTGAGCTTTAGGATACCTTCTGCCAAAGCTTAGGGCCCTTCCCAGCCGAGTCTCCTGAAGTCTTTGCCCTAGGGGCCGCTGGTTAGGAATAGGATCCTTTGGCTCAGATTTGCTTTTATTAAACAGTATGGGCGGGAGAGCCAGGCCTTGCGAAGAGTAACTTTCATCTAGGCTATAACAATACATTCAGAATTCAGAAAATGCAATCCGTCTTAAATATATGGCCATAAACTCCTAAGTCATGTGGACATCCAGCATTGCATATCATCTCATTTGGAATCACAGCCAAAAAATACTTTACAGAATTATAGAATTTTATTCTTGGGAAACTGGGGAGAAAGTATGGAGACATTAGCTATCTTCTGGGGTAAACGTTTGAGACTAGAAGCAGGATCAGTGGCCTAATAGAAGTTGACCAAGTAGAGCGTGGATTTAGGAGTGAAGAGATGAGGCATCCATTTAGAAATCACATCTTCACTAAAGAATTGTGTCCACTTTCTTAGGCGTGGTGCATTTCAAATTCACCAACATGCTAACTAAGAATTCCTGCATTACAAGAGCAAAGACGTCACAGTTAAAAATCGTTTAAACAGATTTTTGCGTGATGCTAGAAGGCACTTTTACACACACTGCTCATTTTTAAAAGTTACTTAATGCCGCCTCCTTCCATGAAAGCTGATCTAGTATGGATTAAATTTTTAATGTAAGATTGGATTGGCAGATAATGTACTGGAGGTCGCATCTTTTACACCGATACCGAACCGTGAGGCCCCAGGTGGTGCAGGCAAGCGCGGAGCAGGGACCTGCGCTCAAGAGCGGGCCTGGGCGTCTGGCGAGGCCGGCGGCGAGCGGGCAGGGGTGGCCGCGGCCGCTGCCCGCGCTGCGCCTACAGAGGTCACTGTTCCCTGCCGAATGCGCGCCGGCCGGCCTCGCCCCTCCCCCGGGCGGCCTGCCCGGGCCCGCTTCGCACTTTCACTGACCGCTTCTCTTTGGGGGTGATTTTTTTTTTCTATGAAGATTTAACGTTTATATTTAAATCTAGTTGAAAGAAATTCCCATTAATCTTTTCAGCTTTCAGCTCAGTTATATGTATCTTTGCCTTATTAACTGTTAGTCTGTGTGTACCCGGGAGGAGGATTAGAAACACCAACTTGGGGGTGAGGAAGGTAGAACAACAATTATTTCATCTTGAGGCTTGACATTAATATCTTATTTTTATAATGAGTGGGGGTTGGGGGTGGTGACTGCTCTTTACTCCCCATGGCGGTGACGATGATTAGTCTGTTTTTCCAAGTGGCGGCCAGCGTTAGAGACCTGCTAGGGGCCTGCAGTTTTGAGAAGCCTGCCTCCCTGCACTGCCGCCCTCACTGTCCTCGGCAGTAGAATTTCTTTTAAAATTCTCATAATAATGGTTTGCCAGAGGACTGGATAATGTGTCCCTGGAAAAAAAAAAATCTGCTTGGCTAAACCATGCAGCTGAAAGTTAGCTTGAGACATCAGAGGATTTCTTCCCCGAGGAATGATATGAAAGGGCCTTTTCTAAGTTTGAGAATGAATAAAGAAAAACCCCTGGTTCCAAGCGGTTGTTTTACTTGGGGAAGTTGCATATTTATTTTCCAGGGAAAAGTTTCAGTCAGTAAACATGATGTGGCAGAAATGTAATCAAATGCATTGAAGTTTCCCGTCAGCTCCTGGGAACTGTGGAGCGATCCGTTGTGATGAAGCAGCCATCAGTAATTAGATTTGTTTCATCCGGAGGTCAGCTTTTTTAGCAGGTGGTCGACATAGGGAGCATGCAGCAGCTGTTTGAATACAGGGTCCAGAGAGTCTTTTGTGAATTCAGTGTCTCCATAACTACTTTAATCACATTGTCTGCTGCTCCCATCCTGGGGAGTGTATGTGATCATCTGAAGAAGTTCTGCGTACTGAAACAGCAGCCGCTGCCAGGGAGCTCACTCAAACGCCGCATCCATAGCTTCTGGTAGAGTTGGGTCAGTTGTAGCCATTTTGGTTGTTTATGGGTTTTTTTTGTTTTTTTTTTTTTAAATCCAGCAGAGAACTGCAACGCCTGGCTTCCATTTTTAATTAACATTTCAGTAAAGCATTCTTTTTCCAAGTGTGACATTTTTGCCAAAATAAAATAATTGGCTCTTTAAAAAAAATATTAATTGTACTTTAGAGTGAGCAAATGTGTTGGTGAGGCATTATGGAATGAATTACACTGACTTTGTTGAAAATTTTAATCAAGAATTAATTTTTGTGTCCAGGGTTGCTAGACATCATCACATACCAGTTAGTTAACAAAGCATTTTGCTTTTCTCATGTAATGTTTTCCCCTGCCTAATACTGAATTCCTGATATTGATTGACTTGATACAAAAGAATGGCTGGATAATATCCAGATAGAGTATAATACATGGGCTTTACCACAGTCAGGCCCTGAATAAATACAGACCTGTCAGAGATTGATAAAATAAACTACAATGGATAGTGCTGTTTAAACAGTCCATTCAATAACATATATAAGCCAGCCTGCCTTCCATTGTGTCTGAAATTCTTATTTTTGTAGGTAAACAAATGCACATTCAGCACTGATTGAATAGCCCCTTGAACTATGCTCCACAGTTTGCGTTTGGGTTAATCTTGTCGGTTTAATATACAGAGAAAAAAGCTCAAAGCGCCAGGGGTGGGATTGTTAGTGCTTTCACATCCACATTCCTCACATTTTGTCAGGATGATAAACTGTAGGTAATGGACTGTCGTTGTTCTGCAGGACAACTGAGCCGGGCAGAGCACAGAGACAGAACTAAAGCCATAGCACACAGTGTTTGGTCGTCTTCTTTTCAGATGAGAATTTATTTGGGAATCTTGTGTCTAGAGACTGTACTTCTTAACCTCACAAATTACCAGTGAGAGCCCCAGAAACAGAAGCTAGAGGTTAAGATGATTTGTAAAGCACTTGGTTCTAAATCTCTCACAAAGCATAGCTGTTGACACTTGTCCTATGGATACAAAGAAATGCAAATGACTCCAACGTTTCTGAATGTTTCTGACTTTTCAGCTGTAGTATGTGGACAGGTGAATTAGCCATTGGCCGAGACCTGCTAAAAACTACAAGTTGGAATGGTTTTTCCATACAGAGTCAACTGAAGAACAATTGGGGCATTTATAGTAATTCTCATAAAGCCTCTTATCTGTAAACTTACAGAAGTGAATCCTTTGGGTGGATCAGTGGGATAATTGCCTTCAGACAGACGTTGCAACTGGAGCAGCTAAGTCCTGGCCACCTTGTCTTCTGCTGCCGATCTTTCCATTGGGGATCTTTCAGGTAGCTCCCAGGAGCTTTGCATAACACCTAACTCAGAGACGTTTCAGAGTGCGTTTACCTAGTGGGAAACTCTGTGAGGTCCCAGCATGACTGCAGCGATGCGTCATAGAAATGGGAGTGGCAGGAAGAGGAAATACAGATTGTAGGCCCTAATTTAAAAAAAAAAAATAGGAAAGATATTTCTTTTAAGGTTTCATGAAAATGTAATTCTTCAAATACTTCACTGTAAATTAGACAAAAAGACTTGCACTTTTAAGAAAAAATGATGAAAATGGTCCTCTTATCTGCCTAGAGTCTGCGTTCCTTGGCTGCTGACATAGAGAACCTGTTTTTCAGGTCATTTATTACACATCTTCATGGCTTTGCCTTCGAGCTCACCCTTTGTGTTGGAGAGCAGAGCCTTACAGAGGAGTGTTCAACTGTTTAAAATATTTTGATTAAAATATGCAGACCCATAGAACCTATAAGTTTCTAGTCAGGAATTAGCTCTTTCAGGGGAGAGCTCCCCCCTCTGTTTTTAAGGGGGAAATTGGAATGGGGGAGGGGGAGGAATATAAGAACAGCAAAGAAGGAAGGATAGCAAATGGGACATGTTCCGAACAGCTTGGAAAAAACCCCTGTGGCTTCATTGTCTCTGGAAAGCCAAAGAATACAAAGACATAAGCAATTCAGCCCTTCTCCCATGATGGAAGATGTAAACCGTTGACATGCCTCCCCTGTTTAACTTGTTTAATTCTCATTTTAAATTCAGCACTATACTAGCCGTGTGAACTCTGAAGGTTTCTTTAGTAATCCATTTTGTAGTTCCGAATCAAAAACAAAGTGAAAGGGTCTGACACAATTTGCTTTTATTTTTAGGCAAATCAACCCTGGTCATAGTTAATAAGGGGATTACAACCCAGTCTGGGTCTTTACAGATGTGATGTACACCAAGGGCAGAGTATAAAGAAAC